GCTCTTTCCGCACTATCGAACCCTTTGTTTTCACAAAAGGAAAAAAAAAGGAACAAGAAATATTAGATATTGGTTCAATGTATTGTGTAAAGACCACTTTTTCTTTGGAAAGGCGGGTAGGTGGAAGAAAGAGCTATAATCATTAAAAAGAAACTTGTAGACCAATACTTTCATTTCGCATAGTCCTATGGGTGCAGCAGCCTTTTCTTTGTGCAACTGTTTTAATGTGTCGCCCGAGTGTAACTACGGCTCCCTTCTTGGATTTAAATTATTTTGAGGAACAAAAAAGAAAGCAATAGACTTTAACTCAACACAAGCGTGGACCAAAATAGGCCATAATGACAACCGGTCCTGTCGTTCCTCATCGGTCGTCTTGAGCTATTTGCCAGGGCGGCCATGACGTTGGTGATAAAGTATTAACCTGACAGAAAGAAATTGCTCTTTCACCCCTGAAATGTTGACTCATTTAGCTGTCCCTGTTACCATGGTACCAAACGTTGCAACGGCAAAATCCAAACCCAATAACGTTTGGAAGGACAGACTCAATCACAAAAACAGCTAATTAAAGCAAGCGAAAATTTCGAGCACAAACGAGCGCCCAATTGTTTAATGTAACGTTGTATTTGTTCAAGCAACTGAATTTAGACCCCCACAAAAAAACATATTATTATATATACAACTTTCTACCATGGTTATATTGAGAGTATTCATGTGATATTGTTTGTTTCCCAATCTCCCTGCTAACGGCTTTCTCTGTTATTCTCCCACTGCATGTCAGGTGTGTGTTGTTTCTGACTTATGACCTAACCGAGGTAATATTGTCTGACTTTAGAATCACTGACTAGATTGCATGTGGGGTGCCATTGAAAAGTCAAGACTTGAGTTTTATTTTTGCTTTTGTTGTATCTCTCATTAACACCTTAGTAGATGCATCAATATTCATTGTTCAGAAAGGTCACTTGGTCCCTTGACAGGACACCGGGTTTGTAAACATAGTTTATTATAATTCTAATACCTATGTGTTACAAATTGGGAATGTATTCAAAGTGTGATCGCCGGGATGAATGTTCATTGTAAACCCCAACCTTCGAGTCCTTTCGATAGGAGGCGGGCTTCCAAGTTGGGCAAGCCTTACACCACAGCATGGTCTTTTGAGGCGACAGAATCGTGGGTTGTAAAAGTTAAGCATAACTCCACACTGCCTAGTGCATCACAATAATCACAGCCCACGGTTTCCTGCTCCTGTAAGACATGACAGCGAACCTACAGTGGCCCCCAGGGTGACCTGGGATATTGAGCGCAAACTCTAACAGGTCAGCATTGGGGGTTGCAGTTCACTTTTACCCATAGAGTTTGGTAAGGTATTAAGCGCCCACAAAAACAAGAAAACAAAAAAGGAAAGAAAAACACTGTTAGATAATAATCTAGCATGTCAACAAGCCTAAGAGTAAGGGTATCCGATACTCGTGAGGTGGGCGGAGTGGTGGGGAGACATCATGTGACCCCCGATGCCGGTCAAGAAGCCATTACTGTGGCTGGACCAGTAGCAGCCAGGGGCGGTGAACAAGCCTCCGGGAGCTGGAGGTGCCATGGAGTGGGTGGGAGGCCTGAAGTATTTCGGTGTGTGGTAGCTCTGGAAACCAAACACGTCCTGGTGGAACTTGAAGGGAGACTCTGAGGTGGCGGTCTGGATTTGCTGAAATGGGACAAATTGAGCATTAGACCGGGAAGTAATAATACTGTTTGTGTTTGTTTCACCGTCTAAAGGCTCGTTTATACCAAACATCTGCGTTCGTGTAGTTTCGTGTGCGTGACGCACGGAAGAATGTATTATTTATCTGGGCCCTTTCTGTGCTCCAACCAACTGCTGTTCGGGTTCATGTGGCAGATCTAGTGATAGTTGTCGTGGCAGCCATAACATTTCATCCGTCTACACTCGTGTTGTGACCGACCGCTCCCTCACTTAATCCAATAACCACGAGGACCACGAGGCAATTGCAACAATACGCAGCTCTCTGAACTGTGTTCTTACTCCTCACTTTCATGTTGATATAAAACACGCAGGATAACGCGCGAATAGACGGATTATATACAGATTATATATGTGAATGAGCACACGTTTGTGCGTTAGACGAATGCACAATACCGCACGAACGCTGATGTTTGGTGTGTACGAGCCGTTAAAGGGGAGCTAAAATGCTTGTTTTTCTCCTTGAGAGTAGTATTAATACTTGTTTCTATTTCAGTGTTTGTTTCTCTTCTTGAAAGTGATATTAGTGTAATATATATGACCCTATCTTTTAATATAACTGTATTATTTCAATTTTTTTAATTTTTCTTCTTTTTTTTTCGTCCGAAATGTAATTTTGAAGTTTGTTTCTCTTCTTAAAACAAGAGCACCAAGACGAGCATGTCGTGTTTTATCATACTCGTGAAAGGCTTGCGACAAAATGAACTATGTACAAACAGTGAGGAAACTTGTGATTATTTCATTTCTAAATAGCCAGCATCATCTGTGTTTGCAATTGTAAGCGGAAGTCTCAATTCAGCACTAATCACCCTGGACTGTTTAAAAGGACCACAATTCACCGCTGCTCCCCGACAATTTCTCTGAGGCGAGTAACTTCATTAATTTTTTTTTTGCCCGACTGAATCATCTTTTCCTGAGTTAGGGAAAAAAAGCAGTCCCTGTGCTTTTGAAGGATGTATTCCCAAG